GGTATGAATATATAGGTAGGAGTACAGTTGGATCAGATGAAAAAAGAATATTGCTTTATCATTTGTTGTGGGAAGAGGAATAGTCTGGACACCTTGCAGTTGTGTCTTAAGAATAGTAGTAGAAGCTGCAAAATTGTGATAATTAAATGATCCCCAAATGATAGTAAGTACCCACTGGAGGACTTATTGTTGTAGGATTAAATCTGCAATGACACCGAATAGTGGGTCTCAGAGAACGTTAATTGCTAGAGAAATTGTTTCTGATAAAATAGAGAGCTACTTATTAGGTCAAAAGTTGCTAAGGTAAATTATGAATTTATTAGTTTCAAAATATTTGATGGGTAAAATTTGACATATATCTGTATGTTGGTGGTGTTTATTTCAGAGGACTGCAAGTTTCACAGCGTATGTTACAGTAGCAATAATTGAAAACCATCTGAGCTTTATGTTGTTCCTTACTGCAACCAATCAATCTTGTGCATAAACCACTTCTCTGTTGTTGTCAGGGATATGTTTTACCTAATACTACTTCCAGCAGTCCTTGTGTTCTTTCATGGCGACCCTTCCCCTTGGGCAATCGCCCAAATTCCCAGTTTATGAAGAGATTTGCTCATACCTGTTGTAGGTGGTTGTGGTCTTCCTTTTTTAGGAAGGTCATACAGTTTTGGATTCCCAAGTCAGCTCTAGGGAGTCATGTTTGCCAAAGTAGGGCTTTTTGTAGCTTTTTTACCGTGGACTCACTGTTTCTTCAGTGTGTCTTATTGTCTGGAAGAGAGATTTGTATCATATTGTCACTGATGTGACACATACTGCTGCTTTATATTAGAAAGGATAATCGGTTTAGTTTGAACATTACCATTTTGTGTTCTACACATAACATAAATTTAATTGCCACCTACTCTTAGCTGAATGCTCAGAAGACCTTTTTGGCTTTTCAGAAGTTCAGATTTCCGTATTTATACAAGAGTTCATGGAACAATTATTGTGTTCTGTGTTGGCAATCACTCAAAAATACTGTTGATTTATCTGTATATTAAAAGGAATGGTCCAGCCATGGCTTTTATTCTGTGTCTTTCTTCTGCCAAGGATATGATATATGAAAGGCCTAATGGCAGTCTAGCTTTTATGGGGTTTGGCCACACAAGGATTTTAACATGTCTCACAAGGTCGTGCAGTTGGTCAGTCTGGTCTATGGAGTCAGATATAGGTTACATCTGTAAGCTGCAATTAATTTATCAACAATGAAGTGAAGGTCTTTCTTTTTCCTTAAAGCACAATAACAAAAAATGTAGAATTCAAAAATACTTTTTCATTTAAAACTTGCCAGCTTTGAAAGAACACTGATATTTGAGAATGCAATGCACATCTACACATAATTTTAGCAACATTAAAGTGCAGCATGCTCTGAGTGATGAAGTGACTAATGATGTATTCATCATTTAATTTAACCTTCTGTAACATTATTCTGAATTAGCTTGCTTGAACAAGAGTATGTCTTAAAAATAATAATTAAATCTTGATTAACGTTTCTAATGATAGCAAATTCATAGAACCTTAGTATGGTGCTTAGATAATAACTACTTTTGTTAACAATGGCCCCTCATTTGTAGTCTGGCTTGGAACAGGTATAGCTTTCAGCATGTTATGCCATTACCTTTTGTAATGCTGTTCTCTTTTTCTTGAGATATTTACCCATTGCAGCCCTTTAACCCCTTTAGCCTATTTATCTTCACAAAGAGTAACTAAATTCCCCTTATTCCTCACTAGAGGGCATGTTTTTAATGTTTTATTCATTTTTATGTTTCTTTATCATTCTGTCTAACTTCTCATCCTGCTTGAAGACTGGTTACCAGACGCAGGTAACACAGAGGTAATTTAACTTCCTTGCTCTCTCAGAGCTTCCCTGGCTTTTTATAAAGTTACTCATCTTTATTAGATGTAGTTTCCCACTGGAAGCTCAAACTGGGCTGATTTTTCTCCATCATTTCCAAGTCCTCTTCATAGCTGCTACTGTTTTCATCTTGTATATATGCCTAATGTTCTTGGTTTTAAACTTATGTCTATATTTTTTCTATGATGAAGCTAGTGAGTGGTTTAGATTCCTTACATTATCAACCTGCTTTTTACATTATTTCCCACATGCCATCATGCCATCTGGATCGCGATTTCTTTTTTTTCCATGTCATCATTTAAAAAATTGCCTAGAGTAAATAAGTGACCTGTTGGCATTCCTCTAGAAACACTTCAGTTCAGTTCACTACCCTTTTGCCATTACATACTGAGATATGTCATTTAAAATAAATTAATTCAGTTAATCTGTTGCGTGTTTTTATTAAATTGAATGTCTCATGGAAGTCTGTTTCATCAAAAGTATTATTTTTAGAAACTAAACTTATAATGTCACCTAAAAAGCCATCAAGTTAATTTAATCAGTTTTTTCATAAATTACAGTTGATGTGTATTATACTACAGACTTTTAAACCTGCAATTATCAAGGTTTATGTTAACTGTGTTGTTATAAAATGCAAAGTACATGTCAGGCTGACAGATCATTGAATTTTTTAAACTATGGACTCGCAATCATTTTTCTTTTTCATCCTATTTTTTTTGAAACTTAGCTTCACTGAAATCAGAGTTAATATCCCAGAGAGCAATAATATTGTTGAACAATCCTTTTAGGACTCTTTAATGCAAAGCATCCACATTCAGGTACGTTAAAAAATGTTAACATTGTTGGGCAGTATTCTATTCTCAGAGTAGGCTAACAAAATATCCCTCCCCTACAATACTGGTGAGGTGATTTATTAACTTTCTTTTCTACTTTCTCTCTGTATTTTTTGTGCAGGTTACTTAACCACAGTGAAATCTGGAATTTCATGTTGGGATGGGGAAAAATAGAACTAATACAAAGATAAGGCTTAGAAGGAGTTTGAGAATAGGTGTAGTAAAAATAAAGACCGAGACAGTGTAGGGAACAAAGCAAGCATTTTGGCATCCACAATATCGTAGAATGAGGAGAGTTTTACAGGAAAGTGAATTGCCACGGTTATAACAAGCTCGGTTTTCCTGCCACAATCAGAGCAATCTGCTGGAGCATAGTATGCAGCCAGATGAAATGATGGCAATATAACTGACTTGTAATGGACTGATTGCCAACTTCAGATGCCACACGGGGACTTGTGTCCCTGCTTTGCTGTGGTACTTTTCAAGCATACATAAAAACACTACATTACGTGCATTGTCATAGTAAGGCAATACTTAATAGGAAACAGGGCATTTGGTGGTTGTTCTCCATATACAGACAGCAGTTTCCTTCTGCCACTTTCATTCCTGAGCGCTGTAATCAATGGTTTGTAGTTAAGAATGCCACTCTTTTCAGTTTCAGCTCTGTTGTTTCAGGCTGTTTGGTGATTCAGGCATATGCCATTCCTTCAGTCTGTGAAATCTGAAAGTCATTTTTGCATTTGGTAATAAGGGAAAACACAGGAAAAAACAACTTTTTTTTTTTCCCCCCCTCACAGGAGTAACTACTTTCATAAAAATAGCGGGTACTGCAACTGTCTAAATTCACTCCTAATGATTGATGAGTTTTATTCCAGATGTGTCAAAGCTGTTTCCCTTTTTTGAATGATTCTTTATGAACAGACAGATCCGCTCTCATGTTTTCATTAAAAATGATTCTATCAACAGCTGTTTTGCAGAACATAACAATGTTTTCCAAGTTACCGTGAACTATATTTTGTTCCTTCTCTTCCTCTTTGTTATTTGAAAAATATATTTCATAGCACAACATTTACCTTTAAAAACATGTGCCATTTTTATTCTTTTTCTCAAGATAGTACTGGAGAGTACATAAGGTATATTACTCAAAACTGATTCAGTATATAGCTCTAGTGAGGAGACAACACAGAAGCAAAATCACTGCCATTTACTGAGCTGGTAAGGTAGTTTACCCTGTAACTTGTATTGTGAAGACTAATATGAATCAATTACAATTGCAAAAAAAAAAATAATAATGTCTTTCACTCATAACACTGAGTAAAACATAAATAAAATCTGTTTTAAGGGAACTTCTACACATTTCATTTTAGCAAGTTCACATTCATTTAAAAGAATAACTTATGCCAGGATCTAATAAATTGTATGATGCAATCTCCCCTTCACTTATATCTTTGGATTGAAAGTAGCATTCATGAAAGGTGAGAATCTCAAATAAACAATTATACGATCTGTTCCATGAAATGAACACAGGAATGACCGATATGCTTTCATATTTACCTTCATCTTTATTCTTTCGTATTCATATTTTAGTATTGCTATAAGCATCCTCTTCATACTGCATTCATTATTTCTAGGATTGTTTAAATACAGAGAGGTCACCTCTTTGCCAGAGGTGTTATAGTCCAACAGAAATATAAGCAAGTGGTTCATCAGTGAATTCTGATTGTGCAGGGATCAGCATTTTCTTCCTAGCTTATTTGAAATGCTGTATTGGGCCCTCCTCCACTCAGGTATGGCACTTGCAGTATGGTTCATGAGTCTGCATTCCACCAAGAAAAGTGCTCTGGGATTAGTTGATTAGAGCTATAATTTCATTTTATTTGAGGCAATTTTTCATTTTCTCTCCATCATGACCCAGGCAGTGTGGTGCTGGAGCAGATGGCTGCCCCATTCTGCAGCATGGACCTGGCTTCCCAGGCCACTGGCAACAGGCATGGGGATGGAGGTGCTCACCTGGTTCTTGCCCTTCTCTTAGGGCAGGGTGCAGCCAGGCCACAACCAGGGGGCTGGGAAGTGCTGACTGTTCTGTAGGATGGAGCCACGGTGGATCTAGTAATAGACAAAACTCAGCCTGAAATGTAAAGAGAACAAATGTCTGTTTTATTGCCTTTTCTTTTTGGTTATCCAGCTCCAATGCACTTTTTAACCTGATTCTCTGAATAACATTGTTCCACGTACATACCTGGAGTGTTTTTACTGTCTCCTATTTGTTCTTTCAGGATTTGTGGATTTAACACTCCATGATCAGGTCCATCTATTGGAGTGTGCCTGGTTAGAGATACTGATGATCGGCTTAGTCTGGCGTTCCATGGAACACCCAGGAAAGCTTTTATTTGCACCTAACCTATTACTGGACAGGTCAGTCTGCATGTTTCTGTGAATTATTTAAGTTAATTTATTTCTACTGCAAACAGATTGATTTTTACCTTGTAGTCATCCTACTGATTGACAATTTGACAGTACGTCATAAGTTAAACAGGGTTATATGGGACTGGAAAAGGAACTCATAAAACCCTAGAAATGCTCTGGAATATGATGCTGGTCATTTATTAGACAAGTAACACGTGTGAAGGTCACCTGCTGCTGGACATGCTTTCTTTCAAAGGCAGCAGAAAATACCTCTTATTATCTGTACAGTTTGTTGCAAAACTAAATGAAATTAAAATTAAATACTGAATCATAATCACTTTAATTCAGATAATTATTTCTGCTTAGCTAAAATCTTCCTAGTTAATCTTAGTTAGAATTGGTTTATCCAAGCAGCCAGACAAATTTTGGAGGAAAATCCTGGTAGCATCTCTTATTTGCAGAGAATACATTGTTGGGTTTTTTTTTTCCTCCTGAAAACTGGAGTCGAATATGTAAAACACACACCAGATTGCTGTCTAAAGCTTTTTTTAGTCAGTATTGCTAATATGCTGTAGGTGTATCTGAGTGAGAAGAAAAATATACTTTTCTGCCATATGATATCCTGGATTTTAGCTGGCAGTCTTCACAAATAAAAGCAGGAAGATTGATAGATTTTTTTAAATGTATTCTACTTATCTTAATGCAAGCTCAAGTCCTCTTTCTTTCCAGTCATGAAAAATTTCAGCCTTGGGAAAGACTGTTAAAAGAGAATAGCCAGTGAGCAGAGGTTTTGACAAATGACTGTGGCAAATCTAGAAACAGTTGCTTAAAGGATTATCCAAGTTACTGGTAGCCCTCTGCTGTTGAAGAACACTGCCCACATAGCAGAGTTGGCAGGAGAAAGCTTATGTGTGCATGTTGGTCACTTCCATGCAGTTTGGCTTCTTGGTGTAAATTGAAGGTGAAGGAAGAGCTGAGCTGAGGAGCTAGAATATACGGGGAGGCAGCTAAGAGCTGGGCGTGCTTCTGATCTCATCACATAGCTGCAGGGGCAGTGAGCTACAGCAAAGGGATGGCGACAGAAAGTCAAGGGCAGTGCCTTCAGCTACTGCAACCATTAGCTGGGTGAATGAATCAAAACTCTTATTAGCAGAAAAATGTCTTTTGAGCAGCTTGCTCCGTTAACAGTGGGGTACTAAGTTCTCATGTTTGCATTTGTGCAATATTAATATTTTGATTCTCTCCCCCCATTGGTTTACTTTTCATATTTTAGTAAAATATAAATTATGATGGCATAAAATATCTCATAGGAATAGAGAATTATTTATTGCCTTAGGAAAAACTTTAATCCACTTGTGAATGATCTGTGAGTTATGGAACTAGATACATGTAAAACACATTCTCATTTTGTGTACAGAAAATATCTGCTTGCCTAAACAAGTATAGTCTTCTCAAGAAAACATAAGCTTAAAAATAATTTCTTAGTGCACATAAGAAGTTAAATTTACTACTGTAGGAAAGTAAGTATAGAATACTATTGAAAATGACTATAAATTGCAATATAGCTTCCAAAGACCAACCCATCTGTTCCACATTTCATAATACAGGTTGTGAGAAAAAATTGAAAACTGAAGAGCAAATCTTTTGTACCATTTTTCCTCCTCTTAGCTAAGAAAAAACAGCTAGGGGATCTACCTCAAATAAAAATCCCCATGCTCTGAATGAATGGAGTCTGAGCAGTTGATTCACACAGTTTAAACTAAGTCTACTGGATTAAAGTAAACAATTGCATGCAACTGCAACCACATATTACTTTAGGTCTCAAAAATCAATTAACTTCATAATCAAAACAGGCTCACTGTTTTCTGACTTTTTAAAAGACTTTTTAAAAATGTAGATGTATTACATCTTCTAATTTTCAAATAATAAGAAAAAATGTTTCTAAGGCATCATATTCTTGCATCGTTCTACTTGTTAGGGATATTTGCTAAAATAAAATAATGAATTATATGACTGGGGAGCACTGATATGCTAATTAGTTAACTAACTCTTGATTACTAGTTAACTAGTGCTAAAAGTAGTTTGATATGCTAATTTGATCTAGGCCTTTGTTATAGGGAAAAACTATATTGTTTGTCAGATTTGACAGGGCAGGAGAAAGACTGATTCAAAGCCTGTTTAACACAGTGGAATCCTTCCACTGCATCAAATATTTGGGCAAATATCACAAGAGTGCAAAAATTGTTTGACGCATTATTCTTGTTGATCTAAGCCATGAAATCATCTGACTGAATGGATAAAATAATGGAAAAGATGGATGCTGTAGTACAATCTCCTTTCGTCTGTTCTTCCCTCCTTACCCTTCAGCATGTTTTTTACAGGACAATCCTTTTCAGTGTTTTCATCCACAACATTCTGTCCTGAATCCCCATCACACTTTCCCTGTTACCTGATCTGTGGGGTTAACAGCTTCTGCAAATATTAATTTAGCTACTGACTATAATCCAGAGTTCCCAACTACAGATGGTGAAAACCAGACCTGTCTCTAACCTGTGTTTTTCTGGACTTAGTGCAAATTCAGTCCTGTTAGCATGGAGTTTTACCATATTTTGCATATGCCTCTACCTCCCTCTGATCATTCTGTGGTAGACATCCTGTCCGATTTGCACATCCCTTTCATTTTTCACATTCAGTCTTCTCCTGTCTCTAACAGTATCTTACTGTCTAGAACTGGAGATAGATAGTCATTTGTATACATCTGTACATAAAGCTCAGGCCATGTCAAGTTTTATTATGCAACTTTTTAACCTTTTGGATAGATAAATACAGTCTTGTTCGTATCTACCTGAAATTCCATAAAAATAACATTCCAATTTCACTCTTTTTTTGAACAAGACTGGTTTTTCTTCTTCCAGCTTACTTCTCCTACTTAGGTCATATTAAACATAAGCTTGTCTTTTCTCTGAAGATCTTTTAGAGACTGTCTTTTCTCATTCTGTGAGAGTCTACTTGTTACATTTTCAAATAAATACCTCTATAATTTTCCTATGTAAAATTCACATTTGAAATACTCCTTGAAAATATCTGTAAAGCAGTCCTTTGTTATTTAAGTTCCTTCTTAAAATTTTGCTTTGCCTATAAGAAAAATTACACAACAATTAAGCTGCCAGTATATGTAGACTACTGCCTTCTGTGTGGATGAATACCATCACATTACCCCTTTCTATTCCCACTCTGCCTTGTAATTAGGTAGGTTATTCTGTGGGGTAATGCACCCTTTCTTATTCTGTTAACGCACTACCTAAACTCTTGAGTCCTGGTTCAAAATCAGGACTTTTAGCAGTCTGCCAGTTACATATAACTGGCACATTTTTACAGTCTACAGCTGATGCTATTTAAAAAAAAAAATCTCTCATGACAACAATTATAGATTAGAAAAATAGGCCCAATCAGGAAAAACAATGTCACACTCACAGTGCTTCCAATTAATGTCCAGCACCTGATAAATCAAAGAAAACCCAGGATACATGCAAGTCCTGTATATTCTGTGTTTGAAAATTAGTATCTTGTATAAGGCAAATCTAGATGTAAAGGCTTATCTTTCTAGTGGCACAAACCAGATGTTTCCTGTCTGGAGGGTTCCCAGGAAACTAGACTTTAAAAATGTCACTAGACCAGGGCTGAAATTTGTCAGGCCCGACAAAAGGCTGTTTAAAATTTTGAAGAAAATGTGATGTTTCTTCAGGAATAAGAAAGTCACATATTATTATATTTTCAAAGGATTTGTTGCTTTCAAATATCATGCTGATCAGAGGTTACTTAAGGGTTTGATACACAATTGTAAAGAACTCATAGCAGAAACAGCCGAATTGGTGATGGAGGTGGATGACTTCTCACCTGAAACATCCTCAGTATCAGCAAAATGGGAAATGCAGTGCTGCGTTTTAAAAAGGAGGGTGGAACTTCCGCCCAGTAAGCCTGGTGAACATTGTAAGGAAACTGATGGGATATCGTCTAAAGAGGAGGATTGGCTGAGGTGTGAATAAACATGACATAGTGGTAAAGAGTCACCATGCATTTTGTAAGGGGAAGACATGCGTCACGAACACGTCTGAGTTCTTTGAAGATATTAACAAGCAAGTGGATGAGGGAGATCTTGTTTGATTTCCAAAAAGTATTAAACAAGGTCCTAGTTTTATGTAGACAAATGTGAACTGAGGCACATAGAAGAAGAATAATCCTAATCTTTACAAACTGCATTCTGAGTTGATCTTTCCATCTCGCTGTTAACAGTAGTCACTTCTGTGGAACCAGCAGTTCTTAGCTCACCAGCAGTCATAAAGTAAATAGACTTTCCCCCCTAGAATCATTACAACACAAAAAAGAAATAGTACAGATTGTTGTTAGTCCAATGTATAAATCTGTGCTGCATCTGTGCTTGGAAGACCGTGCCTTTTTGATTTTCCTTATCTTAACAGGAAAATTGAAAAAACAGGAAAGGTACCCAGAGGGGTTGCATAGGCAATCAAAGAAGGAGACGAGCTTTGGTACAAAGAATAACTAAGTAGACTGACTTCTCTGCCTGTGATGATCAATAGAAGAAGAGAAACAAAACAGAGATGATAGGAATTGCATAAAGTCATGAGCACATTGAGAAGATGTATGGTAATCCACAAGTTATTATCTCTTCCAATCTAGCACTAGAGGTAGTCACTTTAAAATCAGCAGATCTAAATGCCTATATGCTTAGCCCAGGGCTAAATATACATTCAATATGAACCAGTATAGCTGTTCTCGTGTTATGTTCTAACATTATTTTCTTATCACGATTGCAAAAAATGTCTAGCAGCAAAAAATTAGTCTAGGGACTTACAAAATTTCAGTTAAATGTAGTCGGTATTTCCACATTTCTCCCAGGTTATTTCCTTCTTTTTATGGAGAAATCCAGTCTGCTTTTCAGGTTGTTTTTTTTAATTTGAAAACTCTTGTTCACTTACTCTTCCAGCGCT